TAGCTATTAACGGCTTATTTTCCACTCATCTGAACACAAGCAAGGAAGCACAGCGATGGCATAAATAGGTTGAACACAATCTGGCTTATCGAGAGGCGCACACAGACGGTGTGCAAAATTGGCGGAGCCGGTGACCCCTCTTTGCATTAACCCTAACCGACAACGAATCAATGGAATGGAATGGAACGAAATAAAATAACAAGAGTTGGAAGGGACCTCGGAGGTCTTCTAGTCCAACCCCTGCTTAGGCAGGAAATCCTACACCACTTCAGACAAATGGTTGTCCAATTTCTTCTTAAAAACTTCCAGTGTTGGAGCATTTACAACTTCTGGTGGCAAGTTGTTCCACGGATTAATTGTTCTCACTGTCAGGAAATTCCTCCTTAGTTCTAGGTTGATTCTCTCCTTGATTAGTTTCCATCCGTTGCTTCTTTTCCTGCCCTCAGGTGCTTTGGAGAATAGCTTGACTCCCCCTTCTTTGGGGCAGCCCCTGAGATATTGGAAGACTGCTCTCATGTCACCCCATGTCACCTTTCAAAAGGCCACTAGATTTTTTCTGTTTTTCAAAGTCCATTTAAAAGAGCGAATCTGGTGAGTTCCAGATTCGATTCGGAACCCTGACTCGCCTTAAGGCCCTTAAAACAGAAGTCAAGTTGCTACACCTCATGAATCTTTTAAACTTTGGAAAATTCAAGCAAGCGGCACCCACCGGGAACGCCGAATAAAATAAAATAAAATAAAATAAAATAAAATAAAATAAAATAAAATAAAATAAAATAAAATAAAATAAAATAATAAAATAAAATAAATAAAATAATAAAATAAATAAAATAAATAAAATAAAATAAAATAATAAAATAAATAAAATAAAATAATAAAATAAAATAATAAAATAAAATAAAATAATAAAATAAAATAAATAAAATAAAATAATAAAATAAAATAATAAAATAAAATAAAATAAAATAAATAAAATAAAATAAAATAAAATAATAAAATAAAATAAAATAAAATAAAATAAAATAAAATATAATAAAATAAAATAAAATAATAAAATAAATAAAATAAATAAAATAAAATAAAATAATAAAATAAATAAAATAAAATAAAATAATAAAATAAAATAAAATAAAATAAAATAATAAAATAAAATAAAAATAAATAATAAAATAAATAAAATAAAATAATAAAATAAAATAATAAAATAAAATAAAATAAAATAATAAAATAAAATAAAATAAAATAATAATATAAATAAAATAAAAATAAAATAAAATAATAAAATAAAATAAAATAAAATAAATAAAATAAAATAATAAAATAAAATAAAATAAAATAAAAATAAAATAAAATAAGAGATTTAAGTTACGTTCCCTCTCCCAATTCCCCAGAGATAAGGCGGTAAACCTGCCCTCCCAATAGGGATCCACCCGCCCCGTGGAGGGAGGGCTGCGAGGTAAAGAAAAGATGATTTCCAGATGTGACAGCAGCTTCTCTTCCTCCACACCAAGGAAGAATCTGCTCCAGTACCATCACCACCCACCTAGACGTCTCCCCTCCTGGGAGAACCCGTCTTGGCTGAGTTGATAGCTTCCTTCCAAAAAAAAAAAGAAAAGAAAGGAAGGAAGAAAAAGAACCGACAACATCAGCAATGCACCGAGGCACATCCAGGTTGCCTGTTGCAAGAATATGGGAACAACGTACGTGGCAGACTCCCGCCGTGCGCAGAAGTCAAAGCAAGAGAAAAACCCAGCAGGATTTTGGGTTTTGGACAGACATAGTCCCTCTCTCTCTCTCTCTCTCACACACACACACACACAAAATATCATCTCAGGACAAGAGAAGACAGCAAATCAACCAGGGATTTCAACCACCTCAATTAATCCTTCAAAAGTCTATGGGAAAGGGGATGGAATTGACTGGAGCAAAGCTTAATCTAGCCACCTGTCTTATCTACCTATCTGTCATATCTATCTGTCATCTTTCTTTACTATCTATCTATCTATCTATCTATCTATCTATCTGTCTATCATCTATCTATCTATCTAGATCTATCATCTATCTATCTATCATCTATCTCTCTCTCTCTATCTATCTATCATCTATATCTATCTATCTATCTATCTAGATCTGTCTTTATCTATCTGCATCTGTCTTTATCTATCTGCCTCTATCATCTATCTATCTATCTATCTATCTATCTATCTATCTATCTATCCTATCTCTATCTATCTATCTATCTATCTATCTATCTATCTCATCCATCTCCTTTCATTTCTCTATCTAATGCATCCATCCATCTCCTTTCATTTGTCTGTCTGTCTATCTATTCCATCCATCTCCTTTCATTTCTTTATCTATATCATCCATCCATCCCCTTTCATTTCTTACCTGTTCTATCTATCTATCTATCTATCTATCTATCTATCTATCCATCCATCCATCCATCCATCCATCCATCCAATCCATCCATCCATATCCATCTCAGCAGTTTGGATTGTTGGTGGATTTTTGTATCTTTGCTTTCATGGCATTCGTTTGTAGTGCTTGTTCTTGAGCAGCCAATATTAAGCCTTCCGTTTTTTTCTTGATGGTTCCTATTTTAAGCCATGCCCGTGTTAAGTTGCCATCACATTTTCCTTCAATATTTTTCAAGTGCTGTCCATGCAAAGCTTTGGTTTTCCATCTTTGGAAATCATCATCATCATCATCATCATCATTATTATTATTTAAACTTTAGTGAGATTCACAGCCTTTGAGGCTGGTTAATAGCTCAGCAGCTCGAGTCCTAACCAAGGACCTAGGAACTGTTAAAGTATCGTCGGAGGATGTAAGCTGTTCCGAGTAAGGTGTTTTTTTATTATAATGATTATTTTTTATTATTATTATTATTATTATTATTATTATTATTATTATTATTATTTATGTTCACTGTCCAGACTCACTTGCTGAGATGGACACCCAGGCAGACTGAAAAAGGACATTTTAAAAAAACTGATCGATACCGGCAATGCAATGGTGGTATAAAACTGCCCCAACAGTCAATCAAATTTATTACACTCGTCGTTTCCAAATGGCGCCTCTGCATGTTACGATAAATTTGCCAAGCTTGAGAAAAAGTCATTTTAAAAAAAAAAAAAAAAAGGGAGGTTAAAGATCTATTTTTCAGACAAGATTAGCAAGGGACGTCCTCCAAGTGTGTTGACTAAGATGATCTCTCCAGCTGATGGTTCGTTGACTTTTGAGGCTACTTATGTCCCTAAAAGTGATTACTTAATTCGGGTATTATTCTTTTCTTAATCGGTTTCTTACCGTGAACGTGCCACCGTTTATTTACAGCGGGTGTAAATGATAACAATAAGTATGATTTGTATTCTTTAGCGTTAACAGCAGGGAACCCAGCCGACTGACTGAATAAATGAATAAATGAGTGAATAAAAATCTCAGCAGTGCGATCAACTCAAAAGAGCTCACATCCAATTTTCTTGGTTGACTTTGTAAATTTGTGCTTTTTTTAAATGAACTTTTCTCCTTGGGCTTAAAATGGATTCTCTCACGAGGCAGATATGCACATCCCTGAGCTAAGTTTTAAAAAAAGGAATTTTTCCTGGAAAACAGTCTCCCAGGATGGGTGGGAGACAGAGAAACGACTAGAAGGCCTCTAAAATCCCTTCCAACTCTGTTATTCTGTTAATTTATTTATTTATTTATTAGTTCAATTTATATGGCACCCTCCTCCGAAGACTCAGGGCGTCTTACAATGCACTTATAGCAATAGCCTTCATTCTTTTGTATATACCTGCTTATTAGGGCTTTTGGGCCCCCCATAAGCATGTTTCTACAAAGTCAACTTATTGCCCCCACAATCCGAGTCCTCAATTTACCTACCTCGGAAGGATGGAAGGCTGAGTCAACCTTGAGCCTGGTGAGATTTGAACTCGCAGTAATTGCAGGCAGCTGGCAGCTAAGTGCTACATAACAGCACTTAGTCCACTGCACCACCAAGGCTAATAAAAGTATTTCCTCCACTTTTAAATGATTTTAAATTCTAACCTCAGGGGGACGTCAAACTTGGCAACTTTTTAAGACGTGCGGACTTCTTCCAGAAAAAAATTGTAGATTATATTATTGTAGAATATAATTGTAGATTATATTTGATTATACATGTAACAACAGTTGCAACGATTGTTTTTGCACAAAATTGGAAAGCAGAGAAAATGCCTTTAGAAGGAGAAGTAATCAAAAAAAATCTTAAAATTGTGCAGAAATGAATAGACTGATGATTAAAGAAAGAGAAGATTCAGAATAGTTTAAGATACGGGATCAATTTTATGATTGGTTAGAAAAGAGATATAGATAAGTAAATCAATAGTTATGTAAAAAAAAATGATATGATTAGAATACTGTTACTTTTGGAGATATGTTGTAATAGATTGGTGATAATGAAGACAGAAGAATTTGCAAAAAGATGATGTCGTGGAGAAAACACCGAGATGTCGCATGGAAAAAATGACTGATTATAATTAAATGTTTGTTTGTGTATAAAATAAAAAACTTTTTTTTAAAAAAAAAAAGACTTGTGGACTTCAACTCCCAGAATTCATGGTTAGCTGGGAACTGAATTCTGGGAGTTGAAGTCCACAAGTTTCCAAGTTTGGAGCGCTTCATTTTCGCTTGAAGTTAGGAAATTTGTGGCAGTGAGTTAAGAACAGGGTTGGTTTTCACTTACTTTCCCTATCAGTTCGCAAATCCACGCTTGCGCCCGACTTTCCTTACGCATGTGCCTTCGGTGCACGTGCTTTGCTCACACATACGCCTTCCGCGCATGTGCCCAGTCTCAAAAACGCACCTAAATAGGATGGCATAGAGCTGGGGCGGACACACCCGCGATTTCCATTACCGGTTCCGGTGAACCGGTCTGAACCGGCTGAATACCCCCTCTGCTTAAGAGCAGTGAAATTTGTGAGAATTTTGTTGCTTCAAACACTTCTTCCTCTTACCTTTACGGGAGAAGACATCCGAAGCCTCTTCTTCTGAACTGCTCTCCATTTCAAAGAGGTCCTTAAATTCCCTCTTATCCTCCTCTTTCTTTTCATTCGGCTTCTTGCGTTTAATTTCTGGGAAGTTTAGATCTTCCATCTACAGCCAGACAACAAAGGGAGGATAGAAGAAAAGACATTAAAAAGTAAACAACACTGAAAAATCTTTCCTCCGGTCTCGAATTGGCCCCAAGACAGGAGTAGGAGTAGGTGGTTATTCTAAGCATGTATTAAAATCCCACAAAATTACATACGGTAGTGGCCAAAATTGTGGAAATCTTTTGGGAAAACTGTATTTTCTAAAACTAGCTAATAACACCACTTTTTGTTTTTTGGAGTAGTGCCATAAAACTATATATCCATGGAAAGATAATTTAATCAAGAATGTAATGCAATCACTTTTAGGAAGGATTTGCTATTAGAATAGCAGTGACAGTCTAAAGAAGAAAAGTGAAACAGGTAGAAAAAACAAGATATACAAAAATGATCACCGTAGAAAAAACGAGATATGCAAAAATGATCACATCAGTTAATCCTTAGTTAGGTAACTTTTAGCATGAATGACGGCCTTACAATGTCTTCCCATGGAGTGAACTAAGTCTTTGAGTTCTGTAGCTGTTATCATGTGAAACCAAGATTGAATTATGGCTTCTATTAACTGGATTTTATTGCTGGGTCGCTTCTGACTTAACAAGTTTCTTTAGTCAGCTCCATAGATTTTCAATTGGGTGGAAGGTCTGGGCTATTCCCAGGCCATTCCAGCAATGGAACAGGATTATTCTAGAAAGAAATCTTGAATTTTAACTATGGGAGGATTGTAAAAATGCCAAAGATTTGTCTTTCATTTTTTTAATCCTTTCCTGCCAATTGCAGCCTTCACAGAAGACTGCAGAAAATCCCTCTTTTTGGAGTTTCCGACCAAGTTTCCGAGCAAGATCTCCGAATTATATAGCTAAATGAAAACGTTGGGGGGAAATCTCAAAATTAGGGATGAAAATACTCCTTGGATTGCAATCATTGTATGGCCAAACCTGCCACGATACAAAGGCCGGGTTATTTGGGACTAAAACCCTGACAAAGTTAATTAAGTAGTAAATTATCAGTTGCATCGATTGGTCAGCCAATTGTGCTCCTTGGCCGGGATCTCAAGATGATTTAAATTTGGAAGGATTTCGGTTTCCTACCCGTTCTTTGCCAGTAATTTCAAGCTGAATTTCCTTCTCCCTCAGCTTCTTCCAGGTCACGTAGTATGTCCTTAGCGGAGTTCCTTCTGCTTTTACGGTTTTTTCCCATCGTTCCTGTCAAAAAAATTGGCCGGAGACGTTAAGAAGGACATCAGCCAAGCGTTTCCTATTCACGTTCATAAAACCATCCAAATTTTCTGCTTCGGATGCAAAGGAGAGGGGTGGGGGTGTCTCTCCAGATTTTCTATATTCCAGTTCTGAAGATTGAAGTCAAAATTTGCCAAAAAACCCCGAGCTGGGCATTCAAAACGGTTTCAGAGGGGAAAAATTTTGTTCGTGGAACTTTTTCGGAGCAAAAAACACTGATTGGCATCTAACGACACAAATTTGATCAATAACGCAGAAGGGCAGCGCCGAGGAGTTACAAAAAGGTGTATTTGTACACTTTAAAGATAGTCCTCGACTTGTGACCGCAATTGAGCCCAAAATTTCTGTTGCTAAGGAAGACATTTGTTAAGTGAATCCCTGCAGTTGGATAAATCTAGCTTCCCCGTTGACTTTGCTCATCAGGTCGCAAAAGGGGATCACATGTGTCCCGCCTGGACTATTGTAATGCTCTCTACATGGGGCTCCCCTTGAGATGCACCCAGAGGCTCCAACTGGCGCAGAGTGCGGCCGCGCGGGTGGTTATGGGAGCGACGTGGAGCTCCCATGTAACACCTCTCCTGCACGAGCTGCACTGGCTCCCGGTGGTCTTCCGGGTGCGCTTCAAGGTTCTGGTTACCACCTTTAAAGCGCTCCATGGCTTAGAACCTGGTTACTTACGGGACCGCCTACTACCATCAATAGCCTCCCACTGACCAGTACGCTCCCACAGAGAGGGGCTCCTCCAGGTGCCGTCGGCCAAACAATGTCGGCTGTTGGCCCCTAGGGGGAGAGCCTTCTCTGTGGGGGCACCGACGATCTGGAATGAGCTCCCCCCAGAGATACGGAGGATTCCGGACCTGCGCACCTTCCGCCGCGAGCTGAAGACGCTTTTATTTCATCAAGCTGGCCTCGCCTAAATCTTCTCCCTTTTAAGTGTAAATTTTAAATTTTTACTGTATTTTAAAATATGGGTATTTTAAATTATGGGTATTAATTCAGCCAAATTTAATTAATTCATTTTATTCGATTTTAAATTTTGTATATCTATGTGTTTTATTTCATGGCTGTGCACCGCCCTGAGTCCTTCGGGAGTAGGGCGGTATAGAAATTCAATAAAATAAAATAAATAAATAAAATAAATTAAGCGCTATTGCTCTTCATTTGGCGAAGAAATCAAAAGAATGAACCGGCTTCGGTATAAAGCTTTCCTTTTTCGATGCACGAAAAAATAAAAACAGGTGTTTCTCTTGGATGGGGAACCCTCCCAGCTGAACAAAAGGGGAAAAGAGGTGACTCACCACCGCCTCCCGATCGGAGACGCCGAAGGAAGCTTTCTGGCGCTTGGCGGTGATGAACGCCGAGTTCTCCTGCAGTTTTTCCAAGAGCTGACGGACGGTTTTGCAATAGTTGGCAATCTTGCAATCCTTCAGGAAGGACTTCAGCTGGAGGAGGAGGAGGAGGAGGAGGACGGAGGACCGGAAAGAAGCAAGACAGCAAGAAATTCCATGAAGGGCTCTCTCGGGGTTTTGGGTTTGCCAAGTAGGAAAACAATCAGCAGGGGGAGAATGAAAAAGTCACAAGCTGTTGATGGGAGTTTTGGCAAAAGCACTGGCACCGATGGAGGCGGAAGGTCTCGCTGGCCGAGACAGATCTTCCTGCGGCCCTTGGTGACCCCTGACTTTTGAGGCCGGCAACAGCTGTTCCTGACAATTTGCAAGATCCCATTTTATATCTTAGCCTTAACCCCAAAAGGAACTGGTGGGGTGAAGTAGGTCAAATTGCTTCGTTGGAAAGTCCAGCTGATGAGAACCTGGTTAAATCTGCTTTCATTTGTGCCAGGAAAAAAAAGAGAGACAGCAAATGAGTTTATGGGCAGGCGGGCAGGAAAGAAAGAAAGAAGGAAGGACAAAAGAACGGGGAAGAGAGAGGAAAGGAAGAGAGAGAAAGAGGGAGGGAAGGAGGGCAGGGCAAAAGAAAGAGAGGAAAAAACAAAGGAAGGAAGGAAGGAGAAAGGAGGAGAGAAGAAAAGAGATAGGAAGGAAGAAGAGAGAAAAGGAAGGAAGGAGAAAGGAGGAGAGAAGAAAAGAGATAGGAAGGAGGGAAGAAGAGAGAAAAGGAAGGAAGGAAGGAGAAAGGAGGAGAGGAGAAAAGAGATAGGAAAGAAGAGAGAAAAGGAAGGAAGGAGGAAGAAAGGAGGAGAGAAGAAAAGAGATAGGGAGAGGAGAAAAGAGATAGGAAAGAAGAGAGAAAAGGAAGGAAGGAGAAAGGAGGAGAGAAGAAAAGATAGGAAGGAAGAAAAGAGAAAAGGAAGGAAGGAAGGAAGGAGAAAGGAAGAGAGAATAGAATAGAATAGAATAGAATAGAATAGAATAGAATAGAATAGAATAGAATAGAATAGAATAGAATAGAATTCTTTATTGGCCAAGTGTGATTGGACACACAAGGAATTTATCTAGGAAGGAGCGAAGAAGAGAGAAAAGGAAGGAAGGGAGGGAGGGAGGGAGGAAGGAAGAAAGAAAACAGAAAGTTAAGAAAAAGCTAAAGACGGGTAAAATAAAAAGAGTGAGGGAGAAGACAGTCCAATTCCACAAATACATCCTCTTTAAACAACATGTAAAAGATGCTATTTTGTCGGGAGCGTGACCTTCCCCAGTCTAACCAGCTTTTGGACCACAACTCCCATCCTCAGCACAGGCTGGCAGGGGCTGATGGGAAGCCCGGTCCAATCCTGAATCGAAGGATTCCCCTATTCTGCCTGCCTGCTTTGAAAGACAGGAGCTTCCCAACCTCGTTCCCAAAAAAACTGGCATTGTCTCCGAACGTATCCAGAGATCAATTCCGAGTCCCTGCGCCAGCTCTGAAGGGTTGGGGGTGGAGGGGGGGGGGCTGGATCAGTCCCCCCACTTGACCCCTGGGAACTTTTCAGGGGGGGGGCAATGGAGGGGGCTCGCAAAGCCTTTCCACCAGCTCTTTGTGTGTAGGTGCGTCTGTGTGAAAAACGACGACCCTTTCTTGGCTGCTCACTTGACCTCAGACCCACCCGACGGCGGCTTTCACCCCCCCAAACACTAGGACCACTGAAATATCGTGTCCCCCCCCTTCCCTTCCTAAAAGGCCTGGGAGAACAAATCCCCTCCCCCCCCGCCAATCCGCACAGTCAGTTTCCTTCTGTCCAAAATAAAAGCGGGAACTTGTGTTAAGAGCGGGCGGGACAGAAGGACGCACCTCCGTACCCTTCGGGCGCCCCAAGAGAAGGAGGGGGGGCGGTCCCTTTCATAACCACAGGCTTCCTTTCACTCACTCACTCACACACACACACACAAGCACAACCTCCAGAAGACAAGGCAGCATTCATGCTGGGCGCTTCTCCAGGAAGCCCGGCGGCCTGGCACAGCCGGAGAAGGGGAAAATCCAGCTGCCGGCCTCCTTCCTGCGTTAATAATCCGGCTCTAGGGGTTCGGGGGGGGGGGGGGGGAGACTAGGCTCTCCCGGCTGACACAATTAAAATTGGGCTGCCTGCCGGGCGGGAATCTTGGGAAGGGGCTGGGTCCTGGATCGCAGCCCCTGATGACCTCCACTTCGGGGGTGGTCCATCACTAGCCAGACAGGGGCATGGGGGGGGGGGGGGGGAAGGGAAGCCCACCCTGAGGCTGGGAAGCCAGGTGGGAGGAGGTGGAAGGGGTAGGCCCAAAGGGATTCAAATCCCGGTGCTACAGATTCGCTATTGGGACCGCGTGGCGGTTCTGCACATCCGCAAAGCGTTTTTGATGATGTGCGGGTAGGCGGAAGCTCGAACCGGGCTGAACCGGTAGCAACTCACCCCTAGCTCAAAGACCTCCGACTGTGAAAAAAAATCACATTTTCCCACAGGGCTTGGGAAGCCCCAGTTTTGCAGTGCAAACCACAGCGAGCCTTGAAATGCCCTCCTAGCAGGCGTAAAGGAAAAGAGGAAACACGCTTTCCTCGCCCCCTTTCGATTAATTAGCTAAACGAAGCCCCCTCTTGTGCAGAAGGGCGCTGACGGCGTAACCTAGTAGGGTAACGAGACGTCCGCAAGCAAATGACCAAGCTTCTGAGAGCATCAAGGATTCCTCATCTACAGAGTTGGAAGGGACCTTGTAGGTCATCTAGTCCAGCCCTCCCCCACACCGAAGCAGGAGACCTTACACCCGGGATGGCGAACCTGTGGCACGTGGAGCCATATCGGTGGGCATGCAAGCTCAGCTCCGGCCCACATGCACGTGCCGGCCAGCTGATTTTCGGGCCTTCTGGGCCCACCAGAAGTACAGAAACAGGCTGTTTCCTGCCTCCAGAGGGCCTGTGGGGGGTGGGGAAGGCCGTTTTCGCCCTCCCCAGGCTCCTAGAAAGGCTCTTTCTTGAACGTCTCAAGTGATGAAGCTCCCACAACTTCCGAAGGCAACTTCTGTGCCACGGGTTGATTGTTCTGTCCGAAAAAAAATGAGATTTCCCTTCCAACTGGAAAAAGTGCCACCGTTTTTGCAAAACAAGACACTAAACGTGGCACTCTCTTTAGATTTATTTTCTGTACTTAAGGTAAGATTCTAGTCCTCGGTGTGCTTGGAAGCATGGAAATTGATTGCTGGGTTGTTATTGTTTTTTTCTGCTTTAGGCTGTCCAACGGGGGGGGGGGAACCTGGGGATGCTTGGCAATTTCCCCCCCTACCCATCTGTTTATTTTAGCCACACAAATTCCATTTACCTGAAGGATGGCAGGCAGCGCCAATTCTGGGAAACCAATCGTGTGAGACTGGCTGTGGAGATATTCTAAAGTCAGGTCATACAGCTGTTCAAGAAGACCATCCTGGGAAGGGAGAGAAGAGGAGTGGGGGGGGGGAAAACCAGTCAAAATTTGAAAAGGGTTTCTGAAGGCCAACTTCCCACCTTAGGACGGGTGCAACTACAGCATTCATAACCCAAAATTGAGTTAAATCAATGTTGTTGTTTTGTTTTTTCAACTTGGATACTTTTAAATATCTGGGCGTTGAAGCCCCCACTTCTTTTTCTTTTTTTAAATCATTTTTATTAAACAGTTTTGGGGGGGGGGTTTGAAAACAAAAACGAATATTTTACAATTTTCTTCTTTTCAACAATTTCGCATCAGTAGATATTTCTTACATATCCATTTTTTCTCTCCCTTATTTCAATTTATCCTTTATACATATAATTCTAATATTGATTTATTTACATAGATGCATATTACAAACTCTTCTAAAAACATGAGTTCCAGGTATATTAGTAAAGAAAGAAGCAGACATCCTGCGAGCTCTGGAACTTAAAATTTTAAAATGTTAAAATAATTAAAATGTTATTTTACTAAGCTTTCGTCAGCCATCTGCTGACATCGTCAAGAGTATTAGACTACCATTACAGAGAACTCTGCCTTTATATACCAGTGTTTCCCAAACTTGGCTATTTTAAGATGCATGGACTTCAATTCCCAGAATTCCCCAACCAGTATGCCTGGTTGAGGAATTCTGGGAGTTGAAGTCCATACATCTTCAAAGGGTCAAGTTTGGGAAACACTGTTATATACCATTAATGAGAAACTAACATGGCCAACCACAAGGTCACGGACAAGGCAGCAAATTGCAATAGTTGACAGGCTAACATCACCCCACACTGATAAGCAAGCTAGGAGGGAGGAAACAGTAGAAATTAAGCCTCCATCATCCAGCATGACGACAGCAAAAACAACTCGACTAATTATAAGTGGGAGACGGCTGGAAGGGCCTGTTTTACACGTGCAATGGCCAAATTGATTAATGGCATATAAAGGCAGAAATCTCTGTAATGGTAGTTTAATACTCTGACGATGTCAGCAGATGGCTGACGAAAGCTTAGTAAAATAAAAGTTTAATTATTTTAAAATTTTAAGTTCCGGAGCTCGCAGGATGTCTGCTTCTTTCCTTAATAGATGCATATATATATAAAACAGTGTACATAATTTCGTTCCTTTGATCTGCATCGTTTCTGTTTCCTCTTGTTTGTTACTGCATTTCCACTCCTCTATCTTCCTCATTTACTCTTTCCTTGCCTTTTATCCCTCTCCTCTAACCGTTCATACCATTTTTATTTTTATTTTTTTTGCTTTAATTTATATGCCACCCTTCTCCGGAGACTCAGAGCGGTTTACAATGCGTTAAGCAATAGCCTTCATACTTTTGTATATTTATACAAAGTCAGCTTATTGCCCCCACAAACTGGGTCCTCAATTTACCTACCTTTGAAAGGATGGAAGGCTGAGTCAACCTTGAGCCTGGTGAGATTTGAACTTGCAGTAATTGCAAGCAGCAGATGTTAATAACAGTGCTTTAGTCCACTGTACTACAGGCTCTTTGTATCTCATTTCTCCCACACTATATAATATTCTGTTTCCTCCTTTTCTTTTATTTCCTTTGTAAGTTTGTCCCATTTCTGCACACTCCAAAACTTTTCTAATCAGATTGTCTTCCGTTGGTGTATAGTTATTTTTACAATTTTGTGCATATGTTATTCTTGCTGCTGTTACAATATGTATAATTAAATATTGTATTTTTTTTTTCGTAAGTCCCTGGAAGTAGTCCTAATAAAAATATTTTTGAAGTCCACAAGTCTTAAAAGTTGCCACGTACGGACAGCCCTGCCTTGAAAATTATACAGAGCTGCCCACTTCGCCTTCCCACGACTTACCCGGAAAGCCTTCTCCTGCAGGTTGGCGTTAGAGAGCTTCAAGATGACGGCAAAGTTAATAGGCTTGGCACTCATTCGCCCCGGTTTCTTGTTGAAATCCACCTGTTGGAAAATCTGTGGAAAAAAACGAAAAGCAAAGGGAACGGACAGATCAGCCGGGCATCCATGGAAGAGAAAGTGTGGGAAGATACAGCTAGCAAATTTTGGATTTTGGAAAGCCCAGGCTGGCTGTCTTACATGGTCACTTTGATTGTCTCCAGCCTGCAAAAGTGAACTTGATATAGGTCAGTGTTGGCAAACTTTTGCGGCACCAAGTGCCAAAGCGGGAGCGCGCTTGTGTGAGCGGGAGAGCTCCAGAAGAGCAGCTCCTTGGCATGCATGAACGGGAGTGCCCGGAAACCGGAACAGAGCTGAGCTTCCGGTTTCCGGTGCGGAGCTGAGCTTCCGGTTTCCGGCATACGCATGTACGCTGGTTGCCCAATCTTCCGGTTTCTGGCATGCCCACATATGCGAAGACCAGCTGGCCGGTGCACATGTATGTGCCGGAACCTGGAACAGCAACAGGTGACGGCTGGCGTGCCCGGAGAGATGATTCTGCATGCCACTTCCGGCACGTGTCCCATAGGTTCGCCATCACGGATATAGGTTGTGTGTGTTTTTTTTTTTTTTAAATAATTCTTTCTTGGATTGTCCCAAAGGTGCTTTTTCACGAGGCAACTGGACTTATTTTATTTTATTTATGGTACAATGCTTTACAGACGGCTGTAAAGCATTGTGAAGCGGTATATAAGTCTAAGTGCAATTGCTACCTTCCTTCTTTACTCCCTCCTTCACAGTGGTTAGAATGTAGTATTGCAGGCTAACTCTGCCCACTGCCAGCAATTTGATCCTGACCGACTGGCTCCAGGTTGACTCAGCCTTCCATCGTTCCGAAGTCGGTAAAACGAGGACCCAGATTGTTGGGGGCAAAAGGCTGACTCTGTAGACTGCTTAGAGAGGGCTTTAAGGCACTGTGAAGCGGCATATAAATCTAACTGCTATTCCTTCCTTCCTTCCTTCCTTCCTTCCTTCCTTCCTTCCTTCCTTCCTTCCTTCCTTCCTTCCTTCCCAGTGGTTAGAATGCAGTATTGCAAGCTAATTCTGCCCACTGACAGCTGTTCGATCCTGACCGACTGGCTCCAGGTTGACTCAGATTCCCTGTCCTTCCGAGGTCGGTAAAATGAGGACCCAGATTGTTGGGGGCAAAAGGCTGACTCTGTAGACTGCTTAGAGAGGGCTTTAAGGCACTGTGAAGCGGCATATAAATCTAACTGCTATTCCTTCCTTCCTTCCTTCCCTCCCTCTGGTTAGAATGCAGTATTGCAGGCTGACTCTGCCCACTGCCAGCTGTTCGATCCTGACCGACTGACTCCAGGTTGATTCTGCCTTCCATACTTCCGAGGTTGGTAAAACAAGGACCCAGATTGTTGGGGCGGGTCAAAACAATATTTTGTCTTATAAGACAAAAAGGCTGACTCTGTAATATATATATATTTTGCAGTATATATTAATATATATATTAATATATATATATGCAGTATATATTAATATATATATTTTGCAGTATATATATATATATATTAATTTGATTTATATGCCGCCCTTCTCCGGAGACTCAGGGCGGCTTACAATGCGCTAAGCAATAGCCTTCATGCTTTTGTATATTTATACAGCTTATTGCCCCCACAAACTGGGTCCTCAATTTACCTACCTTAGAAAGGATAGAAGGCTGAGTCAACCTTTGGCCTGGCGAGATTCGAACCTGCAGTAATTGCAGGCAGCTGGTCTTAATAACAGGGTGCTTTAGACCACTGTACTACCAAGGCTTTCATATAATGTCCAAGAGCTATTGCTATTGCTATTACCATGCTGCTCCATGGCCCCCACCCCAAATTTAGTCTAACCCAAATGCCAGCTCTGCACCCCCCCCACCCAGCCCCACAGCGGCACAAGGCTGTGGACCCACCGATCCGAGATATTAAAAAATAAAAAGGCGAACGATCATTATATCCCTCCCCGTTTGGGCAAATGTGCTTTCCTGCCCCCTTCTTTTTCTCTTTCTCTCTCTCTCTCTTCACGCAGCTCGGTCTTTGCCAAAGAGCACAGCGGCGATGCCGCGGGGAGGCGGGGAGCGAGAGGGGGGGCCCCTGCCCGCTTCTCTGTGCCAAGAGAAGCATAAACTGTCAAGGCACATCACCGATTTCCTGCTCATTTCCAGTGACAGTAGCTTGGGGAATATCGGCACTCCGAGGGACCTCACAAGAAGCCCGAGCTGTCATCGTGCTGGTGACAAAGTGAGAAGGGGAGGAAGCCAAGCGGGAGGGAATTAACGGAGAAAGGAGGGATTGCATTAGGTTGCTCCCTGGATGAGGAGAACCCGCAGTTCCAGCCGAGGTTTTTTTTTTTTTTTGCAAATTCGGGAGTAGAAGGAAATCTGTGACTTGATAGCAGACCCTCAATATTTGAGGGTCTGTCGCAAAGAAGTGGGGGGGGGTTTCCACCTATTTTCCAAAGCACTTTGAACGCAGGACAAGAAGCAATGGATGGAAACTAACCCAAGGAGAGAAGCAACCTAGAACTAAGGAGAAACTTCCCGACAGTTGAGAACAATTAACCCGCGGAATGGCTTGCCACCAGAAGTTGTAGGTGCTTCATCCCTGGAGGCTTTTAAACAGAGCACGTTGTCTCGAGAGGTATAGGGTTTCCGGCTTGAGCCAGGGTTGGACTAGAAGACCTCCAAGGTCCCTGTTCTGTCCCCAACCACACGCGCACACACCAACAGACGTTCAAGACCAAACCAGCCGGCAAAATCGTTTTCCTTATGATAACGGAACTTGGCAACAACCTAGTGGCTGCCTGCCAAGAGTTTATTATTTACGAAGAGGAGAGATAACTTCTCCCCCCTTCTGATACATCAAAAGAAACAGCTCAATAATTACGGAGTCAATCAAGTCCAGAGATAATCCAGCAAAGTCTATAGCAAAAAGTCCGGCAATGCAGAATGGCGTGGAAGCTTTCAGCTTTGTTCGTCACAAGGTTTGACTGGCCACCACGCTCCCTTTTATACCCTGTGGGGTGTGGTCCAGTGACTCAGTCTAATCTCGGGCACGCCTTTTCTTTTGTTGCGTGCGCTTATCTCTGCGACGCTGGCGTGGATCCAGCCAAGACTCATTTCCCTCATCACTGTCCATCTGTGGCTGCGTGGACGCGCGTGGCCCCGGCCCTATCTCTTGCCCTTCGGCGGACACCGAAGGCATTGCCAGAGAGGAGGGTTCTGGAGAGGGAGGCCTTGCCAACTCCTCTCCTTCACTCTCGGAGTCCTCTCCTACCGATGACACAGGCTCCGGTAACGGAGCTACAACAGTCCCTTCCAACTCTTTTATTATTCTGTGGATTTGAAGACTGCGGGGGGAAACTCCCATCTGGCCCTTTGCTGCATCGATGCAAAAGGAGGCGACATGACAATAGCAGACCAAATTAGGGGGTCTTGAGGCGGGGCGAGGGTCTCTTTTGGAGTTTTAGAAATCGGGGAGGGGCAATCACTATTAATCCCATTCCTCTCTCTATGACAGGAGGGGAGGAAGCAGGGGTGGATTTCCAAAAATTTTACTACCAGTTCTGTGGGTGTGGCTTGGTGGGCGTGGCAGGGGAAGGATACTGCAAAATCCCCATTCCCACCCCATCAGCTGGGACTCGGGAGGCAGAGAAATAGATGGGGGCGGGGGCCAGTCAGAATTTTTACTACCGGTTCTTCGAACTAATTCAAAATTTCCGCAACCGGTTCTCTAGAAACCGGTCAGAGCCTGCCTGAAACCCAGCTCTGGCGCAGGAAGGCTGAGAGTTAAAACTTCACTTTCCTATTTTCACCTTTATTTGGGGAAGGGGAAGAGGGGGAGGGGCCAAACGGATTCGCATTTTGCAGATTTAAGAACAATTTCAGCATAAAAAGAAGGGACGAGCCTGGGACGGTTTCCCAGCCAAGCAGGCGGCCCTGAATTATTTATTTATTTATTATTTTATTTATTTATTATTTTATTTATTTATTATTTTATTATTTTATTTATTTATTGGTTCGATTTATATGCCGCCCTTCTCCGGAGACTCAGGGCGGCTTACAATGCATTAAGCAATAGCCTTCCTACTTTTGTATAGACCTGCTTAGTAGGGCTTTCGGGGGCCCCCTAAGCGGTGTTCTTTTTTTTATACAAAGTCAGCTTATTGCCCCCACAATCCGGGTCCTCATTTTACCTATCTCGGAAGGATGGGAAGGCTGAGTCAACCTTGAGCCTGGTGAGATTTGAACTCGCAGTAATTGCAGGCAGCTGGCAGCTAAGTGCTACTTAACAGCACTTTAGTCCGCTGCGCCACCAAGGTTTTTAAATGCAACCCCTCCCCAAATTTGGTGCAGGAAGAAGGGACATGCTTGGGATGATTTCCCAGGCAAGCAGGCACCTTGCCTGAATTCAATGCAAGCCCCCCACACACCCCCAAATTTGGAGGTTTGCATTAAGGAATGCAAAATATATATATATTTTTTTTTCTCTTTTGCAGCATCTCAAGTTGTGTGTGCACAATTGGTGTTTCTTCCCAAAGCTCAGCCAGCCACATTTCCTTCCCGCTCCCACCCAGGAGAGGGGGGGGGGAGAAATGCTGCCCCCCCGCCCCCACAGCATCAGATGTGACGGAGGGCCGAAAGGCCAAAGCAGCGCAAACCGCCGGAATGTCTGCGGTTGGTCAAACGCGGCTCGCCTGGAGGAAAGGCTGTTTTCGACACACACAAAGACACACACAGAGAGAGGAAAAGCAGGGGGGGCCACGCAGCCATGCAGAAGCCACAAGGAGTCCTGGGGAACGCAGGAAGCGAAAAGGATGTGGTGAACAAACAACATTTGCAGCAACATTTCGGGGAGGGGGTGGGGAAAACCCACAACGGCCTTTCCCCCCCCCACCGCTTCCTGGCGATGAGCAACGAACCGAGGCGGCTTAGTTAAGTCCCCAAAAACACCAGCCCACAATCCCTCCCACCGATTGCACCATCTGCCACCCGTTTTTCTATTTATTTTTTGGTTAAAACTCACACAAGGCACTTTTGGGGAGTTAAAGCAAGGGTCACAAGGAGACCTCGAGTGAGGAAAAGAATAGCAAGGGGAACGCTTAAAATAATCGGAATTTATTCTTACTGTGTTTCCCCCCAAAATAAGACCGGGTCTTATATTAATTTTTTGCTCCAAAAGAGGCATTAGGGCTTATTTTCCAGTTAGGTCTTATTTTGGGGGGAAAATATGGTACTAAATGCATCCATCTGGATGACGATTTTAACTGGGGCTTATTTTGGGGGTAGGGCTTATATGAATAGAATAGAATAGAATAGAATAGAATAGAATAGAATAGAATAGAAATATGGAATGGGATGGGATGGGATGGGATGGGATGGGATGGGATGGGATGGGATAGAATAGAATAGAATAGAATAGAATAGAATAGAATAGAATAGAATAGAATAGGTCCCACCTCTGTTACTCTATGTTCTGCGCTCAAAATAAGTCTAAAGCAGTGTTTTTCCTACATGTCCAGTTTAAGAAGTGTAGACTTTCAATTCCCAGAATTCCCCATTTAGCACCTCTATGTGTATTTATTAAGGTAGGAGATACAGTATTTTATGAGGTAGGGCTGTTTGCCTAATTTTAGTTTTGAAGGCCAATTATTTATAAGTTGTAAATATTATTTATTTACCCGCTGCCCTGGTAAAACATCGCCCGTATACATTTCTGCTGTATTTTGCATGCTCTGTATCTTAATAATGCTTCGTGTCTTTCTTTTTTTTAAACTTTCGAATAATAAAAACACAGACATTCTAATGCCGGTGGTCCTTGACTTACAATCACTTGTTTACTGGCTGTTTGAAGTTACATCGGTTCTGGGAAAAGTGACGTGACCTTTTCCCACCCATTTTAGCACCCCCGGGGTCACATGATCAAAATTTAAGAAATAGAAATAGAATAAACAGAGTTGGAAGGAACCTCGGAGGTCTTCTAGTCCAACTCCCTGCCCAGGCAGGAAACCCTACACGACTTCAGACAAAATGGTAATCCAACATCTTCTTAAAAACTTCCAGTGTTGGAGAATTCACAACTTCTGGTGGCAAGTTGTTCCACGGGTTAATTGTTCTCACGGTCAGGAAATTTCTCCTTAGTTCTAAGTTGATTCTCTCCTCGATTAGTTTCCATCCATTGCTTCTTGTCCTGCCCCCCTCAGGTGCTTTGGAGAATAGTTTGACTCCCTCTTCTTTGTGGCAACCATTTAGATGCTTGACAATTCCGATTTATGACGGTTGCAATGTGTCTCGGGGTCACACAATCTCCTTCTGACCAGCAAAGTTGACCGGGGGGGAGGGGGGAGCCAAATTCACTTAACAACATTGCCACTAACTTAACAACTGCATGATTCACTTAACAACGGTGGCAAAAAAAAAAGAGGTTGCAAAACGGGGCACTTAACAGCTGTCTTGTTTAGCCACATAAAATTTTGGGCCTAATCCTAAACATCTGTAGTTTGTTTTTTGTTTTGTTTTTTTTGCTAGAGCCAAGTGTCAGGTTACGATGTCGTCTCAAATAAACTGCATTTCCAAACAAATAGTCTTTGATGAAATCTTTCATTTATTGAGCACAACAATCTGTCCCCGACGCCATCGTAGTCAGCACTGACCTTCTGACCCCAAACCCCCCCTTTCTGTTCCCCAATTCCCTGCGTCTCATTGGCCATCTTCCAAGTCACTCTCCCCATATCTACTACTTCAGCTCACAGGAATGTCCCCCCTCCCATCCCATCTCCTACGGGGATGATATCTTCAGGGAAAATAAGTAGGTGAAGAGTCAAGCGTCCTCTTCTCTTCCTTAGGTCAGCACTGGAGTGCTGACACCAAGATTGTCTTGGGCACCGCCCCGCCCCTCCCCCGAACTTTGCAGGTATACAATTTGGAAAAAAAAACCTTCTTTTGACTGACACTCACCTCCAGAATGAAAGGTAGGACTGGGATGAACGTCTGTGTGCTCTCCGACAGCAGGGTTAGCGCCCGGACACAGTGCATGCGCAGAGGGTAGAAACGAGCTGTTGGTACCAGCCTGGCATAGGAAAGGGGTTAAAAAAAAACAAGTGGGTCGAAAACCAGGGACGGACCAAAAAGTGAACTACGTACGCCATTTTAAAAGGGGGTGAGCGGTACAAGTTTGTATATAGATAGTCCTCAATTTATGGCTTGCAATAGGAAAAAGGCTCGATTTAAATCAACTCGATTTAAATCATCCCCTTTACAGAGCCACTGTCATCACTGCTGCGAAATTGTGCGAATGCATCAACGCAGCGCATGTTTTATCTCAGCTCGGAGAGCTTGGATTCAATTCTAAGAGCCCTGGTGGCGCAGCTGACTAAAGCACTGTTATTAACATCAGCTGCCTGCAAATGACTGCGAGTTCAAATCTCACCAGGCTCAAGGTTGACTCAGCCTTCCATCCTTTCTAAGGTAGGTTAAAATGAGGACCCAGTTTGTGGGGGCAATAAGCTGACTTTGTATAAAATATACAAAAGTATGAAGGCTATTGCTTAATGCATTGTAAGCCGCCCTGAGTCTCCGGAGAAGGGCGGCATATAAATCAAATTTAAAAAAAAAAAAAAAGAAAGAGAAAGAAAGGGAAAAAAGGAAAGAAAGAAAGAAAGAAAGAAAGAAAGAAAGAAAGAAAGAAAGAAAGAAAAAAAGAAAGAAAGAAAGAAAGAAAGAGAAGCTGACTTTGTATAAATATACAAAAGTATGAAGGCTATTGCTTAACGCATTGTAAGCCGCCCTGAGTCTCCGGAGAAGGGCGGCATATAAATCAAATCAAAAAATAAAATAAAATTGAACGAGTTTACCCCAAAAAAAAAAAATGTAAACGTTGCCGAATATACAGCCTCTTAAAAGCTCCATTTCACGCTGAATACACTAAATTACGAATGTATCTTAAAATAGAAAACGACCTTGAGATAAGATTTTTAATTCGCAAAAGCATTGTATGAAAATAAATTGGATAAAAATAAAAAAATTAAAAAATCCTATTTAATTTTTTTTTAAAAAAAACAAACCAGGTTTTTTAAAAAAAATAAAATAAAATAAAATCATCGGTTTTTATCCACCCTGATAGAAAAGCTAAAGGCCAAGATGACGCTTTTAACTTTGCCTTCAAAAATTCAAGTCAGACTTTCCTTCCTATCCCCCACCCCCATTAGGTTAAGAACTCCCCACCGTCCAGGCTGCCCCCCCCCTTCATCTCTGCCAACACAAGGGGGATTCACAATAGTCAGCCCACCCACCCCTGTGCCCCCCACCCCTCGCCCCCCAAGGCACAAGAGAGCAGCAGGTTTTGGAAAAATCACAAAGACACCGTCCCTGCAAGCTTCCCATTGCCAGTTATCCTTCTTATTGTCTTGAACCACATTTAAAATTCTACCCCGGACTCTGCCTGGAGCAACGAAAGCTGTCGCAGATGGCAACTTCGCTTCCCCTTCTGTCAAAGCTCTCCCCTCAATTCCCTTTGCTCCCCTGTTTTTTTTCAGCTGCTCTACTTCAGTTCACTAGGGACTAGCACCATCTTCTGGTTAGAGGAAAAACAGTTTTTTTTTTTTTTTAAATGGAAATAAACCAGGTGGGGATTAATTTACGGAAAAGTTGGAATGAATTTAAAAGAAATCAGAAGGAAGGCAGAATTACAGTTTGGGGTTTTGTTTTAGAATAGAGAATAAAAGAGTTGGAAGGGACCTTGGAGGTCTTCTAGTCCAACCCCCTACTTAGGCAGGAAACCCTCTTCCCGACACCCGGGGGGAGGGGGCTTCTCTGTGGGAGCCCCAGCCCTGTGGAATGAACTGCCGCCGGAAATGCGTAAGATCTCCGACCTCCGGGTATTTCGCTGTGCACTCAAAACCCTGTTGTTCCGCCAGGCCGGGCTATCAACATAATAATTTTAAATTGGGTGTCTTAAATTTCTGGGGTTTTAAATTGAGCCGAATTATTTAATAATTTTAAATTATTTTAATTGATGTTTGTCTTGTGCTTTTAATAGGCTGTACACCGCCCTGAGTCCTTCGGGAGAAGGGCGGTATAGAAATAAAATTATTATTATTATTATTATTATTATTATTATTATTATTATTATTATTATTACTATTATTAATTATCCGTGGGGATAAATTAAGGCTCAGTCACTCGATTTGTGGTGGGGATAAATTTAGGGCTCAGTCATTCAATATGTAGGGTACTTTTTCTGCATCTTCCTTCCCGATTCCCTTCTCCAAGGTTGGTGAATGGATAAAACCGGAAGGAGGTTAAAAACGCCACCCAAATTCTAAACCTAAAGTCTATAAACATTCAGAAGTGATTTATTTCTTTTAAGTTTATCGTTTATGGATTCCGTAAGGATCCGTCTTCATTCAAGCATCTGTTGTGGCCCGTCGGACAGTGAGAAGGTTGGGGAGGAACATGGGCCGGTCCTGGGGGTTGGGGAAAGCTCAGACGAGGGCTCTGCGTCGGAGGCAGAGAGGGAGCTAGACAGCAGTGAGGCAGAGGAATAGCTGGAGCCTGTTCCCGGTGTGCGCATGCACAGAGCTGCCGGAAGACAAGAACAACTAAGAAAGCAGGGTCAACTCAGGAGTAAAGCCACACCTTGGAGGTGATTGGCCCCCTCTCATATGAAATAAAAGAGGAGCGAACGGGGAGGAGGCTTTTGCAGGAAACGATTCGTTCGTTCCAAGACTCTGAGAGACTCTGTGCCAAGTTTGGCCTTGTAATGCGTTTGGAAATTAGTTATCCAACAGGGGTCCTCAATTTTTTAAACAGGGGGCCAATTCACGGTCCCTCAGACTGTTGGGGGGGGGCAGACCGGCTGGGTGGGTGTGGCTAGGTGGACATGTGGCTGGGTGGGCGTGGCTAGGTGGGCGTGGCCAATTTAGCAGTCCATTAAACAATACACACAAATTACACTTTAATTTGTCTGTCTGTCTGTCTCTGTCTCTCTCTCCCTCCCTCCCTCCCTCCATCGCTCTCTGTCTCTCTCTGTCCCTCTGTCTCTCTCTGTCCCTCTCTCTCTCTCTGTCTCTCTCTCTCTCTGTCTCTCTGTCTCCCTCCCTCCCTCTCTCTCTCTCTCTGTCCCTCTCCCTCTCTCTGTCTCTGTCTCTCTCTCCTGGAGAGGTAGGTGGGGCAATGTGGGCGGGGCAGCCTCATGGACCCACACGGGCCGGATTAATGACTTTGGCGGGCCATATCCAGCCCATGGGCCGTAGTTTGAGGACCCCTACTCTAAAAGGATGCAAATGACCAGCTGCCCGCAAGGAATATCAATCCTTCCATTCCCCACTATATCCTATCCAGAACTGAAGAAGCTTCTTGGATGAGAAGCGAAATGTCTTCAAAAGAAAAGGAAAAAAAAAACAAGGAATTCCAGTTGCCTCCTGTAAAAGCATCTTTGGTACCACCATCACCTGGAGGACGGAGAATCTCTACAGACCCCCCCAAAGGGTTAAGCATTGTGTAGGTTACTTACTTAATGCAGCCAATGATGACTTGGGTCAAAGGGTAAATCAGAGGTTGCATGATGTCATTTGGATGCATCGTACTCAACGCCCGGCACCAAAAATATAAGCAGTGGACATACTGCCAGTTGTAAACCGACTGATAGTTTTCCTATTTAAAAAAAAAAAAGAGAGAATCAGGAGGTAATGCTGAAAAATTAATGAAGCACACTGTAAGATCCGAAGCGGTTCAGAATTACGATGAAATACGTCTGTTTTTCCTTTTGTGCCGTGACTTTTTAAGATTACACAATTGGGCGCGTGTGTGTTTTTTTTTTTTTAAAGTGAGCTGTAAACGGCCCATTAATTCTTTCTGGATGAAGAATACGATTAAAAACATTTAGATGAAGATGGATTACCATCCTGTTCTGCCCCCAGCTACGGACCCCAAAGAACGCAGCACACGCGAAGTCCGTACAAACCTTAGTTTACCAATTAAGGACTACTAATGAGCTTTCTTAGTAGTTGTTCGAACACAAGTACAATTTAAATCCGGCCCGGACGAGAGCTCTGCATCGGAGACAGAGATGGGGCCGGGGCCATCTGGGAGTGATGCACAGACTCCGGAGCCCCCAGAGTCAGACAGCAGAGAGGCGAAGGAACAAGAGGAGCCTGTTCCTAGTGCGCGCATGCGCAGAGCTGCCAGAAGGCAAGAGCAGCTAAAGCAAAAGGGACGACTCGGGAGTAAGGCCAGGAGATGATTGGCCCCTCCCAGAAGTCTTAAAAGAGAAACAGAGGCACTGGGGCCTTTTGCAGGAAAGCAACGTTGCTAACTCTGTTTCCAGTCGGCATCTCTTGTTTGTTTCTGAACTTTGTGGGGCTTTGCCAAGTAAGGCCTTTGGCAGGGTGCCAAAGAAAATAAAGGTTGGTGATTATCCCGAAGGACTTGTTTTGCAACTAATTGGGACTCAGCTGGGAACGAACGTAATTCTCAGCTGTTACCATAAAATAGGTTTGCTTGGGACTAATTGTGTCTTGTAATGACTCAATAAGCCTAGATCACAACAGTTCTGGTTACTGTTTGGCTAACCTGATTTACTGGACTACTTGCTGCTGAAGGCAAGTGTGAGAGCTTTCTTCCAGGATTTGTAAGGAACGTTGGGACGTTTGGAGCAATAAAGGGGAGGTAGACCTGTTCTCTGGCTGTATGGCTTTCATGCCAGGCTCTGGGTCATCACACCTTCAAATTAAACCCACCTTCTTCTTGATGGTCATCGCCCCACGCAGGTGGATGGCCAGCTGACGGATGTATATGAAGGCCTGTTGGTAAGACACAGAGGGATCCAGAGCGTACATCTCGATCAGAGTCCGTTGCATGAAGTTGATGAGAGGGAGGGCGTTGGGAGAGGTGAACCTCGAATTCTTGACGTAGGAAATGTACATTTGCTAAGGGGAACGAGAAGGCAAGCAGAGAATTAGGGTGACACGGAACGATGGGTTTGCCAGCCACTTGTTTTGAGGTGGGCCTCTGCCCTTCGAATTCATCCCCGATAAACCTCTTTTTAATTTTGTTAAGGGTGGAAATACTGATCCAGCCCAAAAATGAATTTATAGTCTATGGGTTTTCAGTCGCCATCTGTCAGAAATGGTGTAGCGTCTCCTACTAGGGCGTGTTAATCTTACCTTAAGAACGGAGGGCAAATAAGCTTCCTGTTTATACCGGCAGAATTTGTTGAGTATCAAAAAAGCTAGAACTCTCACAACTTCATCGCCCGTGCTCCAGAGTCGAATAATTTGCTTAATGAAAGAAAGGAAAAAACAAAATAAGTTATTTTCAATGTTTGTTTTGGTGCCCAATTTGAACAGGGAGAATCCAACTTGAATGTCTTATTCCGGTACCTTCTACAATCGAGCTTAACTTACCTTAAGTAGCATGCGAGACTGTTTTGGGAAGCTTAAATAATAAGGCACTATGGCACTGATGTGGTGAAGGACAGCTATTGTTACGGAGGTGCGGGTTAAACACGACAGAAGCTGAAAAAAAAAAGATAAAAAAATATCCATCAATAAATACGGCTGAAAGGCTGGCCGACTTCAAATCTCCTACGCTCCCTTTTGCCCCCGTCTCGAAGGGGCTTTTTTCAACAGACAACTGGGCTTTTCTTTGAAGACGTTTCGCTTCTCATCCAGGAAGCTTCTTCCGTTCTGCCTGAGCGCTGGGCGAACGGAAGAATTCGGTCAGAACGGAAGAAGCTTCTGGGATGAGAAGCGAAACGTCTTCAAGGAAAAAAACAAAGAAAGTCCAGTTATCCGTTGAAAAAGCACCTTCGGGACAACCATGACCTGGATGACTGAGAATCTCCGTAGACATCCCTTCTGCCCTGTTCAACTATGGCAGAAATGCAGTGAAGGCTAACCTTTTTGCCATCGCGTGCCAGGAAGGGGGAGGTTCGTGTGCGCATGTGCCCACACGCATAATTCTATGCATCCCACCCTGTGCATGCACATGTGACCCCCCTCCACCCCCCACTCCTGGCACGCGATGGTCCGGTAGGCCCATTTTTCTTTCTCCAGATCCTCTCTATGCATCTGGGGAGGGCGAAAACAGCCTTCCCAGATCCTCCAGAAGCCCGAAATGGCCAGTTTCCCGACTTCCGGTTGGACAGGAAGTGACTTTTTTTGTTGTCTCCAGCCTCCAGAGATGCTGAGCTGGCGTGCCAGGCAACATGGCTCCGTGTACCACCTGTGGCACGCGTGCCATAGGTTTGCCATCACGCATCTATAGTCTTCTAAATGTTGCATTTCTTCCATTTCTATCAGCTGAAAGTCAATATTTCTCTATCCAATGCTCTGTTGTGGCCTGACGATGAGGAGGTTGGGGAAGAACTTGGGCCTGTTCTGGAGTCTGGGGAAGGCTCTGATGGATGCTCTGCGTCGGACACAGAGACAGAGACAGGGCCGTCCAGCATTTCCCAGCCACCGGAGAGACAGCTGCCTTTGGAGGCTGAGATGAGTGAGTAGGAAGAACAGCTGGGGCCTGTTCCAGACGCATGTATGCGCGGAGCAGATAGGAGAGGAGACAAGGAGTCGACTCGGGAAGCAAAGCAAACATGGACGCTGAATGGCCCCTCCCTGGTTCGGGAAAAAATAGAAGGAAAGGGGAGTGGGTTGTCGTAGGAGACAACCGTTCGTATTTCTGGAGATTTTGCTCATTGTGTTTCGTGCCTCAAAGGCTGCTTGCCAGAACTTAATTTGCAATCTTCGGCTGGGAGCTCGCACTCTTGCAACTATCGTAATGAATTGATAAGGTCTGCTGCTGCAGTTAACTCCTCGCAGGACTCTTGCCTGGACTTTTTTGGTGGGTGAATGCAATTAATTCACAAGAGGAAAATAAAGAGGAGTTTTTCGTGACCAGGAGTCTGTTTCTGGTTTCTACTAAGTCTGAGTCAGAACATGCTCTTTCATTAGAAACAGAGACGAAGAGAATCAGTGGTGTCCATGTTATTCTCTGAGCTTGGTGGTTTTCTGGCAGACGTTAAGAGCCGAGGTGGCAAGTGCAGCACTGCAGGCTACTTCAGCTGACTGCTAGCTGCAGTTCGGCAGTTCGAATCTCACCAGGCTCAAGGTTGACTCAAGGTTGTATCTTTCTTTCTTTCTTTCTTTCTTTCTTTCTTTCTTTCTTTCTTTCTTTTTCTTTTTTCTTTCCTTCCTTCTTTCCTTCCTTTCTTTCCTTTTCTATCTATCATCTATCTATCTATCTATCTATCTATCTATCTATCTATCTATCTATCTGTTTCCTAGTATGATTTGATTGCTTATTTGTTCCCTATGACTATCATTAAGTGTTGTACCTTATGATTCTTGACGAATGTACTTTTTTCTTTTTATTTACAATGAGAGCGTATGCACCAAGACAAATTCCTTGTGTGTCCAATCACACTTGACCAATAAAGAATTCTATTCTATTCTATCTTCCAAAAACCCTATATATATATATACATATACATATACATATACATATACATATACATATACACATATACATATACACATACACATACATACACATACACATACACATACACATATACATATACATTATATATATATATATATATATATATATATATATATATATATATATATTTATTTGACCCTCGTTTGCTAGGTGACTTAAAACTCACCTGAATGGTACAGCCAAGGTGCATTTTGATGTCCAGTCGTAACTTGGCCCACAACGGGCTGGAGGAAGGCAAAACTAACCTACAACAATTAAGGAAGACATGATTTAGAAGCAAATATGTGATTCAAAAGCTGTCATTTCTCTTTAACTGATGGGAGATGGCTGAATTTCATCTGGGCTAGAGGCTATTCAACCGGAAAGGTCCTTGCCTGTGATGCATTTAAAATTCAAGGTAGAAAATAAATACATATACCTGTATGGATCCCTGATATATACCAAAGCTGGTATTCAGCTGGTTCGGACCAGTTCAGGAATCTTGTCCTATATCGCTGTGTTTTTGATGCCGCACATATTTGCGGATGGCGCGCATAAGTAAATTGCCATGTTTTGTGACGCCGCACACATGCGCGGATGGCACGCGTGCTCACATATCCAGTGCTGGGCAAACCAGTAGCTACAGTATGTGAAATCCACATTTGATATTGTTCTGCCCCAGCTATGGACCCCAAAGAACGCAGCACAGACAAACTCTATACAAAGCTTATTTTACTCAAATAACTTAGTCTTTATCATTCAAAGGCTGTTAATGAACTGTCTTAACAGCCTACCAGAATTCTAAGATAAGGTAATCACAGTCTTACTAGAGTTGGCAGAAAGCCCAGAAGCAATTTGCAGGAAACTGATAAGAGAACTAAGATCAAGACACGAAGGAGAGTGAATGAACTTGTTCCCTGCAAATTGCCTCAGTCGTCTTCCTTCCTTAAATAGGCTAAGGGAGTGGCCAATTAGCCCCAAGCCTTACTCTCGAGGAGACCTCCTCCTGAGGAGCCACTCCTGCCTTTTGGCAGCTTTGCGCGCCCGTGCATCGAGAAGAGGCTCCTCCTCTTCGTCCTCTTCACTTAAAGGAGCTTCTGGAGGTTCTGAAGGCCTCTGGCACCACATCTTCTCCAGCCTCCTCACTGTCCGACTCGAGCGCCAGCTGCACAGGCTGCTGACGCAGCACCACACCAGTCTCCTCGCTGTCGGAATCAGCTACAATCTGCACAGGCCGCTGACAGGCCACAACAGATATATATATATACATATATCTATTAATCACCGTCCATTTTGAATACATAGTGGAAAGAGGAATCTTGAGAGTTCACCAGGTTGATGCTATATGGAACAAAAATGCGGCTGAATCTCGATGTTCTGCTTCGGGGACCACGAAGCCCCCTCCCAGAAGGGAGCAAAGAAAACAGGTCCTGAAAAGGATGTGTAGCGTCCCAAACAATCATGTGGACCCATCTTGGAAACTCAGCCAAAAGTAGCAGTCGGCTGAGGTCACGTGCAAAGCGCATCACATACAAAGTCGTACCGTTACCCAGACCGCCGAGTGCCCACGATGCTATGCGGATCAGATAGCTGCAAATTACCGCCCACATGCCAGCTAGAAAGGGATTAATTGTACTCTAACCAGCTGCTTTGTCTTTGCGGTCCGAATGGAAAATTCGATCCTTGTCAGCCATCCAATTTTTTCTTGGGTTAGCTGTTTTGCAAATGATTCTTCAGTATTTTGGGATTTTTAGTTAACCGTGGGAATACCCACCAGATGGATTAGAGACCAAAAATCACTTGCTTGTCCTGGGAATTATTTTATGGCTGCAGGATTTGGGTTTGGGAGTGACAGGATAGCAGTATTCGAGTATTTGAAGGGCTGCCACAAAGAAGAGGGGGTCAAATTATTCTCGAAAGCACTAGAAGGCAAGACAAGAAGGAATGGATGGAAACTGTTGTGGGAACATCAGCGGCCTGTGCGGATTGTAGCTGACTCTGACAGCGAGGAGGCTGGTATGGTGCTGCGCCAGCAGCCTGTGCAGCTGGTGCTCGAGTCGACAGTGAGGAGGCTGGAGAAGATGTGGTGCCAGAGGCAAGAATTCAGCCAGGGCCTTCAGAAACTCCAGAAGCTCCTTTAGTGAAAAGGACGAAGAGGAGGAGCCTCTTCTCGATGCACGGGCGCACAGAGCGGCCAAAAGGCAGGAGTGGCTCCTCAGGAGGAGGTCTCCTCGAGAGTAAGGCTTGGGGCTAATTGGCCACTCCCTTAGCCTATTTAAGGAGGAACGCCAACTGAAGCAATTTGTAGGGAACAACTTTAGTTCACTCTCCTTCGTGTCTGGATTCTCTGCAAATTGCTTCTGAGCTTTCTGCCAACCTTAGTAAGATTGTGATTACTTTATCTTTGGTTTCTGTTACGGAAGTTTATTAACAGCCTTTGTTTTGAAAAAGACCGCGTTATTTTAGTAAATTAAGTTTTGTACAAACTTTGTGTGTGCTGTATTCTTTGGGGTCCGTAGCTGGGGCAGAACAGGAAGCTAATCAAGGAGAGAAGCAACTTAGAACTAAGGAGAAACTTCCTAACAAGAGAGGACAGTTAACCAGTGGAACAGCTTGCCACCAGAAATCGTGGGCGCTCCATCACTGGAGGTTTTTAAGAAGAAACTAGACAGCCATTTTTCTGAAATACTATAGGTTCTCCTGTTTGAGCAGGGGGTTGGACTAGAAGACCTCCAAGATCCCTTCCAGCTCATTCATTCTTTTTCGATGCCTCTGCCAGAGTACTGAACGGTAAACTGAGTTAACACTGCACAAAACCAGGCCATCAAAGAACACACAAATTAGCCAATTTAGCAGGTGGGGTTAATAAAGCGGCTGCAGGTTTAAATAAACTACAGGTAGTTCTCGATTTGAGCCCCAAATTTCCCATCACTAAGTAAGGCCGTTGTAAAGCGGGTTTGGCCCTGTTTTACAATATTTCTTGCCAGTGTTGTTAAGAGAATCTGGGCTGCCCATTGACACTGCAACCATCATAAATGAGTCAATTGCCAAGCTTCAAATTTTGATCACATGACCCGGGGGGATTTATAGTTTTTTAAATTAATTGTTTAAAACAGGGGTCACCAACCGGTGGTCCCCGAGAAAATTTTGGTGGTCCCGCAGAAAAATTATTTGCATTTTTTAATATTGCGCTAAATATACTATTTATCTTTTTTTAAAAAAAATTCATGTTCGTGGTCCACGGGATTTAAAATTATGAATTTAGTGGTCCCTGAAGTCCGAAAGGTTGATGACCCCTGGTTTAAAAAAAACCATTCTGCTCAGGATGGATACAAAATGGCCAGTCTAGGAACTGAAGGAATAGTTCTTTTGCAATTCCCAGACTGGAAGAATAAAGAGGAAACAAATGTGAATAAACAAAAAAGAAAAATAATAAACTTACTTTGATTTATTTTTTGCAGGTTTCACCTGAAGCAGTTTTTGCACAAGAACGAAGAGGTCGCGGACGCAGAACGAGACAAGTGTGTTGAAGACTAAGCAGGAGATGAAAAAAAAAAAGAGACACATTTCATCGATCAATTTAGCAGTCGTGAGCACCTACGTTTACCACAGGTTCGCTTCGCATGTGCCATCCGCACGGCCTCGAAAACATGCCTAAATAGGACAGCATAGAGCTGGGGCTCTGCTACCGATTCGCCCAAACCGGCTGAATACGACCTCCGGTCGTGAGAGAGGACTCTCTTATATACAGCTGCCTGTCTCAATGTCAGCAAATTTGAAGAGGTGGCTGGGGAATTCTGGGAGTTGAAGTCCGCCTGTCTTAAAGTTAACGAGATGGAGAAATACCGATATACAGGTAGTCCTTGACTTACAACCATTCGTTTAGTGACCGTTTGAAGTTACAGCAGCACTGAAAAAGCGACTTGAAGATTGTTTTTCACACGTACGACCATTGCAGCATCCCTACTGTCACATGATCAAAATATGGATGCTTTTGACAACTGATTCACACTTACGATGGTTGCAGTGTCCTGGAACTATGTCATCCCCCATTTTGCGACCTTCTGACAAGCAAAGTCACTTAACAACTGTCTCACTTAGTGACATAAATTTTGGGATCTATTGTGGTCATGAATTGACTACCTGTATAAGCAACTTAAAATAATGGAGTTTTTCATATTGCCCAGAATTCAATTTGCTTGCTTTTGGTTTAATGTTTTTTTGTGTGTGTGTGAACTCAATTGTTTTGTTTTGCAATTGATGGCGTATGACTTAGTGCCACCTAAGGGATCTTAAATCTAAATAAATCAATGTGCCCTCACTCACAACTTAATCCTCAAGGATCAAGGCAACATTAGCAATTAAAGGAAAGGAAGAGTCTGATATTATTATATCATTATTATAATATTATTATATTATATGGGATTTATTTTATAGAGACGAAATATGAAAGTACTGTATAATAAAACCAAATCAGTTAAAGAGAAATGTTATGATAATAGAATGTTAAGTATTAAGCATTCATATTAAAATAAGAGTAGATACAAATAATGAATGTGGTGGTAGGCTTTAACTGTTATGAGACAAAAAATGTGTACCCAGACGACACACGAATGATGGAATGTTTTGTATGAAAAGAAAATTATATATATATATACTTTTCTAGTCAGGGTTTTTTCCTACGTAGCTCAAGATGTTTGTATAGCCATGGTGGGGTGATATCTCAAATCACCACTTTCAGGCTTTATCAGACATTTTGTGTTGTCTGTTGTGAGACTTAAGGGAGACTGGGATAGTACTATTTCTGTCTTATGAGACTTCTTCAGCCAGCCACACCTTTATTTTAACCTTTTTAAAATTATTTTTAATTATTTTTAATTATTTAAACCTACGAATTAAAAGTATATATATATGTGTGTGTGTGTGTGTGTGTGTGTGTGTGTGTGTGTGTGCGCTACATGCTGTCATCTAGTAAATGATTTGTATATAACTTATACTATATATATAATGTATGTGTACTTCAGCATTTTTGGGGTTGTAGATAGACACACTAAGGAAAATTTAGCCTAGTCAAATTGTGTATACAATAAAAACCTTATTTTACCATAAGGATCAAGGCCAGCTAAAGCAAAACAAAGAGCTAGGGCAAAATATCAACAAGGATGGAATGTGTTTCTTTAATCTTTTTTTTTTTTTTTTTTTTGCAAAGCTAGCTCAGTTCTGGAAGATTTACCTGTGCTGTCCGTGACTTTGAACTTGCCGGAATCAGGCCCTGCCGATTCTCCTTTGGCTGTGACCACGCAAGCTTTAAAAGCTTGAGTGACTTCATGGAAGATTCTAGGAGTGAGTTTCTTCTGTGTGGAATAAAAAAAAAATAATAGAATTAATTCGAAGAGAAGAGAAGAGAAGAGAAGAGAAGAGAAGAGAAGAGAAGAGAACGGTACAGTAGGGTAGAGTAGAGTAGAGAGAATAGAGTAGAGAATAGAACAGAATATAGAAAAACAGAATAGAAATAGAAATAGAAATGGGGTGGGGTGGAGGGAAGAGGAGAGGAGAGGAGAGGAGAGGAGAGGAGAGAAGAAAAGAGAAGAGAAGAGAGGAGAAGAGAAGAGAAGAGAAGAGAAGAGAAGATAGAATATGGAATGGAATGGAATGGAATGGAATGGAATGGAACAGAACGGAACGGAATAGAATATGGAATAGAATGGAACAGAATAGGAGAATATAATAATAATAGAATAGGAATATAAGAATAGAAAGAATAGAATAGAATAGAATAGAATAGAATAGAATAGAATAGAATAGAATAGAATAGAATAGAATAGAATAGAATAGGTTGACCAATGAAGAATATATTCTATTCCCATTCCCATTCCATTCCAAATACTAAGGTTAGAAAGAGAGAGAGAAAATCAATTCTATCTTTGTTTTGGGAAGACCTTCCATATTTAATCAGCCTTATTTGCAGCTCCTAAAGAAATGTTCCTTTAAAAAAAAAAAGTTCTCTTACCTCTGCAGCTGCCTTCCAGTGTTCCACCATTTTCAATGACACGGTGATGAAGTCCATTTTTTTCCGCTTAGCTGGCTTTTCGTCGTCTTCTTCCTCTTCATCCTCATCTTCATCATCAGTTGCTTCCTATCAAAGATTTTTAAAAAAAAAAAAAGCCTGAAATGAGTGACTTCCAGGGACACAGTCCATACAGTTTTTCTTGGGAATAAAAAGAAATTGGTTCCTCTGATCTTTTTTTTTTTTTTTTTTTTTTTGATTTAAAGTTTATTTACACATTTTCATTTAACATACATTGTCTGGGTCATTTTGCTTACATAATACTACCCTGTTTCCCCCAAAATAAGACACCCCCTGATAATAAGCCCATGGGACTTTTTGAATTTTTGAACACGGGACTTACTTTATAAATGGTTCAATAATAGAGGTAGAAATTAGGAGCTGGGAAAGAGATAGATAGATAGATAGATAGATAGATAGATAGATAGATAGATAGACAGACAGATAGACAGGTAGGTAGGTAGGTAGGCAGGCAGGCAGGCAGACAAGACAAGACAGACAGACAGACAGACAGACAGACAATGATATAGATAGAAGATAGAGACAGTAGATAAGATAGATAGATATGATAGATACCGTGTTTCCCCGAAAATAAGACCCTGTCTTATATTTTTTTCAACCCTGAAATAAGCGCTTGGCCTTATTGCCATGCTTATTATCAGGGGATGTCTTATTTTGGGGGAAAGCAGGGTATATTGAAAATAAATTAATTACCTCTAATTTTTCAGGCAACACATGATGATCTTCCTCTTCATCAGAACTGTCAGAGTCATCAAAATTAAGCAAAGTCTTGTCATTTTCTTCCAGGAACTTGTAAAATTCTGGATCTCGGTCCTTTAGTCGAGAGAGCTGGTCCTTATGCACTGAAGCATTACCTTTCTTTATTTTCCTGCACGACACGGAAGAGTTTAAGGAATTTAAGTTTATATAACTATATATCCAGCCAGGAAGGATTTTTTTTTAAAAAAAAAAATGCTAAATAAACCCTACAAATTCCATAGTGCTATATTGCTTAAGAGAGAAACATTGGGGGTTTTGCTTCCTAGAAAGTATGAACAAAAGTCCCGATTTTCAAAATTTAAATAGGAAGAAGGCAGCAAGAGAAGTGGTGTTTCTCAATCTTGCTCATTTTAAGAAGCGTGGTGGACTTCAACTCCCAGAATTCCCCACCCAGTAGGCTCCAGAGTATGGCTGGCTTGAGTTTTCCTCTTCCCTCCCCAGTCGGCTTTCGTTCTGTGTCGTTTCCTTTTCGAGTCTAACTTGAAAAGCAAAGGGCTGGCTGGGGCATTCTGGGAGTTGAAGTCCACATATTTTAAAACTGGCAAGGTTGAGAAACGTTGTTGTTTTAGAGGAAACTCTTTCTCGTTTTCTACCAGGAAAGACAATGGAGACAAGGCAAATTTGATCTGCTCTTGTATACGCTCATCTAGGAACTTCAGTGGGCTTCCAAATTGAGATTTCTAGGCAAATAGTTTAAAAGCTATTATCCATCCATCCATCCATCCATCCATCCATCCATCCATCCATCCATCTACCATCTATTATCCCTCCTTCCCTACCAAAATAGCACTGGGAAAATTTCAAGGAAGAATAAACGTATCTGTCCTTCCATCCATAACATCTAGCTATCTATATCTATCATCTATCCATCCATCCTTCATCCATTCTCCTTCCCTCTCACCTTCATCCATCCATCCATCCTCCTTCCCTAACCCCTTCATTCATCCATCTATCTATCCATCCTTCATCCATCCTCCTGCCCTCACCCCTTCATCCATCCATCCATCCTTCATCCATCCTCCTGCCCTCTCACCCTTCCCTCCATCTATCTATATTTATCTAGCTATCCTCCTTCCCTCACCCGTTCATGCATCTATCCATCTATCTATCCATCCATCCATCCTTCATCCATCCTCCTTCCCTCTCACCTTCACCCCTTCATCCATCCATCCTCCTTCCCTCACCCCTTCATCCATCCATCCATCCTCCTTCCCTCACCCCTTCATCCACCCATCTATCCATCCTCCTTCCCTCTCACCCCTTCATTCATCCATCCATCCATCCATCGATCTACTGATTTATCCATCCTTCAGCCATCCTCCTTCCCTCACCCATTCATCCATCCATTTATCTATCCATCTATCCTTCATCCATCCTCCTTCCCTCTCACCCATCCATCCATCCATCCATCCACCATCATGAAAACTCACCTTTCCCCTGATACCAAATTACATCCTGGTTTCTTTGTGCTGTCAAGTTTTGAAGGCAACTTTCTTTTCTCATCTTCCCCAGAATTTGGAGTATCGTCGATCAAATCATCTTCCAAATCGGAATCAAACCCAGACATTAAAAACTCATCCACGCTCAAGTCACCCAGTTTTTTGCTTCTGAAAAGGCAAGACAGACAGGATTATTTTTTTAAAAAAAATAAAAATACATTTTTTTATCGATGGCCTCGTTTAGAAAGGCCAATGCATTATGACATTATAAATTTATTTAATTTAATTTAATTAATTCAATTTATATGCCACCCCTCTCCGAAGACTCAGTTCGCCTCTGGCAAACATACTGGACCCTCATTTCCAAGTTGTTAATTTCTCACTTAGTGACACTATTTGCAGGTGAGAAAATCTTAGATTAGGTCCTATGCAAACACCGATACACAATGAAAATTTAAGGCTCTCTTTTTCACAGTGTTGCTTTAATTGTATCCCACCCAAAGCCAGATCAGAGGTGGTATTCAACCCTTCGGACTGGTTCAGCAGAATCGGTAGCGGAGATCGCGGGTGGGCCCGCCTACTTGCCCTGGCACTATGCCAGTGATTGGCTAACTCTCAGCACGTCAAGATGCATTTATCCTAGTGCTGACATGAGAAGGAGAACGCAAGTGTCTGCAACGGGACGGTTGCCTTTCACCTACTTATTTTAGCTGGAGATAATGTCCCCTAGGAGATGGATGGGAGGGGGGAAATTCTTTGAGTTGGAGCAGTAGATTAGGTAACAATACCCCCTAATAATAAATTGTTATAAATAAATTTATAAATCATAGATGATCCTGGATTATTTTAGAATTTATAAATAATCATCTATGATTTATAAATTTATTTATAACAATTTATTATTAGGGGGTATTGTTACCCCCGTTTGCTTCTCCTGAGTTTTGAATCTCATTGAACTCTGCCCAGAGCAACTGTGGTGACTAAATAAATAAAAAAAACAAATGAAATAAACCTACACCTTTGCACTAATTACTCTCAAATGTCTCCCCAAAATCATTCTGTTCCCCAAAAACGAATTCACAAAAACTGCCTCAAAATTCTCAGGTCCACAAATTACAAGAGATTTTTTTTTTAAAATGGTATTTCTGCATTTTAAAACCAGGAGCTTTCAAAACAGAACCGGAAAAAGGGGGGGGGCGAATATAAAAAAATATATATAAAAAGAAACTTAAAATTACTTGGGTTATATTATCGCTATTGTTATCAGAACATGTGTTAATATTTATTACTGTCTTTTCTCTGGTCCTTTTTTTTTGTAAATGGACAATACACTGTATTCAAAATGTTCATGAATATATATATATATATATATATTCATGAACATTTTGATATATATATCAAAATATATATATTTTAAAAAGTGACAAGGTGATGTTAGGTCTCATTGGTCTCTGCAGATAAAAATGACATTAATTTAAAAAAAAAAACCTTTCTGGTTTACCTGGAATTGTTTCTCAATATTTTAAGTCTGCCAGCCTAAATTTAACATTTAAAAAAAAATCCATTTTTTTAAAAAAATAAAAATTAAGTTGCCTCAGGAGCTGCTGCAAAGATAACCTGCTCCCAATTAAGCATCACCTGTAGCCTTCAAGATAAAATCTCCAGGTGTTGCTAATTACCTAACTGTTACTCCCAAACCAGCAAGTTAGGATGAGATAAATTAGGTTGAGAGACCTTAGCAGTTATAATTTAAAAGGGTTTTTAAAAACTTTTTGTCTTTAATGGAACTGTTTTAAAAGGCCTCAAAGGTGGTTTTGTTGTTTTGTTTAACATACACAAAAACTCATTTCACAGCTGTCCGATAGGCAATAAACAAAACATTTATTTCTAGTTAGCCGTTTGTTTGAATATATATTTTCCATTTTTTTTTTACATTAAAAAAGAGAGTGAAGTATTGTGTCGGAGAAAATACAACAGCATCCTTTAAAAGCAAAATTGGTATGATCATACTCTTCCCTACATACCTATATAGTGCTTTAGATTTTTTTTTTACTTTAATGTAGGCATTGTTTTTTTTTAAATCAAAATATGGAAATATCATCTAGCAAAAAGTTTTGTATTTGAGGCTAGGGAGAAAACCCATACGAATGGGGTGAGTTTGAAGTATTTCTAAAATCCCTTTTATTTACTTATCTATATCCCACCTTTATTATTTCAACAAATACCCCAAGGGGGCAAAATGCATCCAGCATACCTTCTTCCTAGATGCTAGACAGACATGATAGATAGATAGATAGATAGATAGATAGATAGATAGATAGATAGAAAGTTGAGAGGGAGGTGGAGAGATCCTAGACAGACATAGATAGATAGATAGATAATAGAGAGAGAGAGACAGAGGGAGAAGCTGAGAGAGAGGTAGAGAGATCCTAGACAGACATAGATAGAATAGATGGATGGATGGATGGATGGATGGATGGATAGATAGATAGATAGATAGATAGATAGATAGATAGATGGATGGATGGATGAGAGAGGGAGAGAGATCCTAGACAGACATAGATAGATAGATAGATAGATAGATAGATAGATAGATAGATAGAGGGGGAGAGAGAGAGAGAGAGAGAGAGAAGCTGAGAGAGAGGTAGAGATCCTAGACAGACATAGATAGATAGATAGATAGATAGATAGATAGATAGATGAGAGAGGGAGAGAGAGAGAGAGAGAGAAGCTGAGAGAAAGGTAGAGAGATCCTAGACAAACATAGGTAAGATAGATAAGATAGATAGATAATATAGATAGACAGACAGACAGACAGACAGATGAGAGAGGGAGGGACAGAGGGAGAGAGAAGGAGAATTTGCTAAGCCATGTGGAAATATTACGGAATATTAAAATTCTACCAATTATGAGGTGGAGTATGGCAGTGAATGGGCCCATTTTCCCTAGGACAACAACCCTGTGCGGTAGGTCGGACAGAGAGAGAGGGGGGGGGGGGGGGGGAGAGGGAGGGGGGGGGGGGGGGGGGGGGGAGAGGAAGGGGGAGAGAGGGGGAGAGAGAGGGAGGGAGGGGGAGAGAGAGAGAGGGAGAGAGAGAGAGAGAAAGAGAGAGAGGGAGAGAGTTGCAAAGAGCAGCCCCAAAGTCGCCCTTTGCAACAGAGCCGGGGCCCAAGGCGTGCTTAAAAGGAAGGTTGCAAACGCACGCCCTTGCCTATCCGACACGCGTTCCCCATTCCCTTCCATCCCATAAACGACTCCTACGCCCCCCCTCCCCACTCCCTCCCTCTTTGCAAAGTGTCCGGGCCCGCGAAAGCTGCTCCCCGGGAAATGGCTTTTTTGCAAAGCGCGCCCTGACCTTTTGCAGGAGGAGGAGGCGGCCATGGCTTTTCCCCTCCGCAGCTGCAACAACGTGGGAAACGAGGCACTTCCTCTCCCACAATGCAACTGAGTAGCGAGGAGGAGCGGGGTGGGGAGGGGAGGGGTTGGAGGGGGGGGAGAGGGGGAGTTCCCACAGCCGAGCCGGCCGGATTGGCTTTCAGGTTCACTCCCGGGCGTGAGAGGAGAGCCGCCGCCGCGGAGGCGTTGCTTTCCCTGCTCCTCTCTCTTTCTCAGCCGGTGCCCGCGGGCGCCCGCTTAAAGAGTGGACAAGAGTGGGGAAGGGGGACCTTGGGAGGTGGTCTAGTCCGCCCCCGCTCTCTCCTCCCCTCGGGTTCAATAGCCATAGGACTTACTCCTCAAGAAGAAAGAAAGAAAGAAAGAAGGAAGGAAGGAAGGAAGGAAGGAAGAAGGAAGAAGGAAGAAAGAAAGAAAGAAGAGAGGGAGGGAGACAGAGAGAGAGCGAGAGAAAGAAAGAAAGAAAAAGAAAGAAGAAAGAAAGAGGGAGAGAGGGAGGGACGGAGACAGAGAGAGAGCGAGAGAAAGAAAGAAAGAAAAAGAAAGGAAGAAAGAGGGAGACAGAGAGAGAGAAAGAAAGAAAGAAGAAAGAAAGAGAGAGAGGGAGGGAGGGAGAGAGACAGGGAGAGCGCGAGAGAAAGAAAGAAAGAAAAAGAAAGAAGAAAGAAAGAAAGAGGGAGGGAGGGAGAGAGACAGAGAGAGAGAAAGAAGAAAGAGAGAGAGAGAGAGAGAGGGAGGGAGACAGAGAGAGAGAGAGAAAGAAAGAAAGAAAAAGAAAGAAAGAAAGAAAGAAAGAAAGAAAGAAAGAAAGAAAGAAA